TGCATTAATTATATTGAGGTGTATAAATTGTTTCTCGATTGAAATAATAACTCAGATAATATTGTATGAACATTGCATTGGTTCTGAGGTCTTTTATCAGCTTCATTAAGCAGGGTTATCTTTTTATGATTACACAGTCATGTGCTCGTCGATACATAAAATAGTTTGCAATGATGATTACTTGACAACACTTGAAGGTCGAACAAGAGAATATATATTATTGCGATATGTCTCTCATAAACTTTTTAAATTTTAAACTATTAAATGTAAAAAATATAATTTTGCTTTCAATTTTTATAATTGTTTAAAACAATTATAATTATAAAAAATTTAAATATAAATTATGTCATACAATATTAAAATAAATATACTTTCTCCTAAGTAAAGAATCAAAGAATTTTTTAATACCAACAAATGAAACTATAGGTATCACTTGTATATTAAATGTACAATTTTTTAAAACATATATATATATATATATATATATATATATATATATATATAAACTGAATTTGTTCTAAAAAATATTATAAACGAGACCTCGATCTGAAGGTTCAATTATACGGTGGATCATCATTAATGTTACTTTGCGCTTTGTCACGATCTTCATCCCGAATTTATTTTACTCTCGATTTTATTCTAAAGCGGATCGTCTCAATTTTATACGCCTCTAAAGCCTTATGTCCACGAGATTAGAAATTAGTCCGAGTTCTTGGACCGAGAAATGTGTAGCCAATTAATTTATAGTTTTTACGGAAATTTTATTGGCTATATATTTCTCGGTCCGAAATAACTTGGAACCAATTTCTAATAAAGTGGATACAAGGCTTAATACGGTATTTTCAGGAAAATCACGATTCCCGTTTTTGATGAAGGACAGTGCGACCGATGCGACCAGACATAATATGATATCCAGCTCTCTCGCCAAGAAATCAGTGCGAGTCAAGCGTCTTTTTCGCAGACACATAAAAGCGCTATAGCGTTCCCGATCGTCTCTGTGGAATATTTCTACACGGTATAAGTCTCTAGTTTATGCCTGCGACACACCGCAGTTAAACATTGCGGCGACTTTTATAGGCCTGTACGAGAATCTCGCACACTCACGCTTGATTATACGATGCTGCCTGCTGCGTCACACATTTCCACTTATTGTTAAACGCATGTGTGTATATATATATATATATATATATATATATAATTTGTGTATCTGCATGCATCTGATAGTCATGCATATCATTGCAAAGGCGATATTCTTGCTTCAGGCAGAGCCGCTGATTTCAGGCGCGAGATATGTATAAAAGAATTTATTTGAGTCGCCGACACTGATCACACACCATAGGATAAATGCAATAATTGATATTAAGAGATATTGTCGAATAATTTTACTGCTCTCTTAAATAAAAATAGGATTTTAATTTTTTCGCACAAAAAAAATATATTCCTCAACAGCTGTTGATAATCAAATATTGATGCTACATCTTATTAAATATGAATTGCTGCAATCTCATAATGTGTGTAATAGACATTATAATAACTTTGCTATCAAATGTAAAGGAGTCTTACAATTAGTTAACACAAGATATACATCGTTGTAATTTATTTAATTATAAAAAAAATTTTTAATCTATAATTATGTATATATATATATATATATATATATATATAATTTTTTTAATCGAATATAAGTATTTACTAAATATAAATAAATATAAATATAATTCTATCGAAGGAGCAATTACTGCTGTAATTAATTATAACATTTGGTAAAAGTAATTTACATATATATTTTGTACAATTTTCATAGAAATTAATTTTCATGGAAACAATATTCGTATTTTCCTTCTACGTTTAATTGGTAATTCTAAGGCGTAAGCTCCGGGATATCGGTAATTTATGAAATCGGTAAAAATACGACGCTAAAATATCTATCTGCGATATAAATTACAATTTATACCATGGATGCCAGATAACCTTGACAAACATCCTCGGCCGCGATGGCGCTCGTAAAGAGCACGATACACCTACGCTGTCTGATGTTAACGCACGAATTTGTGCACATCAGAAGTAAAAAATTAAGTAAAATTCTTATAAACAATAGGCAATAAGCGCTGGTCATGTGTTTTTAGTGTCTTGTCAGTTGATAAGTTTAAAAAAAATTAAATGTTTCTATTTCCTCTTGATATTTGATATTGATTGTGTCAAATCTGTAAAGATCGTTTCAAACACCTTTGAATGATAAGCACGAGAGAAGCAATGCATTTTTCAACGCGATATCGTTTTAATGTCTTCTCGGTGGAAATTAATTGCTCCAATCAATTAAAATCTGTCGCAACAACAAATTCTCGGTTGTTCTAAGACTTTCTTAATAGAGATTTATAAACTCTGCTGTGTAATTAGTGACATCCTCTCGCAAGATGCGTCTCCCAATGTGAGTAGGAGTGTATAAATACATACAATTGATGCGGGTGCACAATTATGCAGCAATATTGTGCAACAGATATCCAGAGAATCAGCACGTATATTTCAGAAAACGAATATTTATTAATATATAAATACATATATATATATAAATATATTTATATAACATATATATAAATATATTATGTTTATATATGTATTAATATATAAATAAATGTGCACTTCATTTTTTGCATAGTTTATATTAAATAGAATTATATGAGAATTAATACACACACACACACACACACACTACTATTAGTTGAAAATTAATAAATATTTTACTACCTCGTGGTGATCGTTGAAAAAACCTTAGTTGTAAGAGTGTTTCAAATGGTAGTCATTAATGATGTTCATTTTATCGCGGGATGAAAACATGTAATAATATCGAGACAGAGCTTTTTGCAACCACTCCTACTGATCTGTTGCGCTTATAAGAGTAAATCGAAAACGAATCTTCTTGCTAAGCTTCTTTTATTTGAAAATGATGGAGCCTTTATATCATGCGATCCCAAAACGAATATTCGAAGTATTTTGCTAAGTCATGGTTAATGCACAAAAGCGTGAGCGAAATGCATCATGAGAATGGTCGCTTTTTGCGCATCACTGTTGGAATAAAGCGAGTAAATGCACGGACACGTATTAACGAAAGATTCTGCCGTCATTATATAGATCGCAACGATAACGCGTCGTAAAAAACGCGGAAATAATCGCCTTTTCCGCGATCGTATTTTACAGATTAGCAAATAATAATCTACACTCTTAGAAAGAATAAGCGCTCTTGTGTCGCTTGTATATTGACGTTTTCAAATCGGCAAATCTTTATTAAGTCCTGATTTTGCCATAATCCGTGTCAAAGTAGAAATCTGTGTTGATGCATTGTATGCATTTGAAAAATTTTTGCGGACTAGAACAATACAAGCGCACTATTGTCCAATTTTATATTAAAAATAATATAATTTAAAAAAAAATAATATAAAGTAATATAAAGTATATCCTATAGTTTGTTATCTCTATTTTTATCAATAACTATCAAATTGGTCACAATACTTAAAATTATTAACTAATTATTAATTATTGTATTGAACCCAATTACGTATATTACATTCATTTTTCTCTGTCCATTTCACAAACTTGCTTCACTTTATATCGCGTGTATATACATTTTATGCGTATATCCCTCATCTATCAAGCTGTCAGTTGCTCAGAATCCCGTTATGCTATATACAGCGGTTGATTTTGCATAATAAACCGTATACCGTTATAATGCACCAGTTAAGTTACATGAAAGGTAAAATTTGATATATTTGTTGATTGAAAATGCGCGTTTGCTTTATAGTTATTTCGTAACAACGTGTATGCATAGTAAGTTTTTCAGTTATCGCAAACAAGGTTCAAATAAGTGCAGGAAATGTAAAAAAAACAGCGAAGTGTGCAGCGCAGTGTATAATTACTCTTTTTACTGTAGACATCATAAGCGTCATGTAAATATAATTATTGTAAGACGTATCGTTGCACTATTACCAGCAGCTTAATAACTCAGGAGCAATTTGCGATTATTAGCATATATTCGGTAACATGTTTTTAAATATATGCATCGCGTAGAGCACACTCTCTTTCATATTATCATATTGTGATTATCGTGTAAGTGTTGGCTATATATATTTTTTAATTCAGATGCTGTAAGATGTTGGGTACTATGTATAATATACCAATATCCTATACAATTATGCAAAAGACTACTGGTGTACTGTCGATATATTATATGAAAATTATTGGAAAAAAGATATATGATTATTCTGACGAAGTAGGACGTTGAATAATTTTCGTCTTTTTTTATTTTAAGAGATTCATATTTGTTGCAAATTATTGACAATATTTTTTATCAAATAGTTAATATGTGTTTATAAATAATATATGTCAAATAGGATATATATACAATCATATAAAAAATATATATGATCGTATATTCGCATAATCACGTATGTATCTGCGGGTGTACTCCATTTTTTGTCATTCTTATATAATATTGATTGTTCTAATAATATTGATTATGATTATGGAGAAAAAACTTATTATGTATATCAAGAGATTCGATGTCATTATAAAAGTAATTTTTTTGTAAGTTTTCATTAGAGATTCATTATCAAGTTTTGCTGTGTTGAAAAAATGTATTATCTATTATGTGTATTTGACCGCGTGAATGTAAAACATAAATTATATTTTATATAAAGTTGTGGTATATGTAAGTTATACATTTTAATCATATTAATTTTATTGTATAATTTGTTGAAATTCGATGATGCCGAATTAATACATATTATAGAGACCTTTCTTAGCAGCTGTTGCTCCAGTCTTTAAAGCTTGTTGCTAGTTCTGCCAGGTCAAGATGTCGCATGATGTTATACTATACACGCTGTAAACAGTTGCTACACGCTAAGAATATAGCTTAAAAAAATTATAGTTATATTTATCAGAAAGATTTTATAATATGATTTCTTTGGCTTTTACATACTTTATTCTAAGTTAACAATGTGAGTGACATGAGTATCGCTATTGTACAGGACAAAGTATAAATGTTATATGCATGTGTGATATTGTAATGTGTGACATAACCTGAAAACTAGATGATTTTTACTGATTTTATGATTTTTTTTGACTAAACATATGTTTGACGTCTAATTTAATTATTTGCATAATGTTTTACATCGAATAATATGATCTCTTTTGATATCTCGTTTTTCTTATTTTTCAGAACGAAGGTGTAATGGATCTGCAAACTCAACAGAAGATTTTGCAATTTGAGACATTTGTGAATGATGTATTAAAAGCCGATCTTGCAAAACTGGCTGAAAAACTCGATGCTAAAAATGCTGACGTTGCCGAATTTCTACAATTGAAATCAGTGATAACTACGTTTCAGAATACAAATGTCGAAAAAACAGGCTTCAAGACCAAAGTTGATATAGGAAATAATTTTTTTATTCAAGCTCATGTGCCAGACGCTTCAAAGATTTTATTAGACGTTGGTTTAGGACATTACGTCGAATTTAATTTGGAAGAAGCTTTAATTGTTATAAATATAAGGATTAAACTGCTTGAGGAACAGATTGCTCATTTACGAAAAGCAGTTGCAAGAACTAATGCTCACATTAAGTTAACCCTTATTGTCATTAGAGATTTGCAAGGAATTAAAGAAAATGATTAATAAAAATCATTTGTAATGAAAAGATAACTTAATATAAAGATAAACAAAATTTTTTATTCATAAATAGATATAAGAAAATATTATAGTATATGTGTGTTGAAGCTGCAATGGCAATAAATTTTGTAAAACTAATATAAACTTATATGTATTACCTGAATTTTTGCATCAATATATATTAATTTTAATTTAAAGAATCTATTAATATTTTAATGTATATGATATATATTAAAATATTGTATATAATAAGAAATATTTTTACATATATCTATATTTCATTTTTCAAAATTTGGACATAATCTTATTTTAATATAAAAAGGAGAAAAAATACATTATGTAAGATATTGTTTAATTTTAATCTGTACTAACAAAGGATATATAGAGAAAAAGAGAAAAAAATTTAATATAGTAAAAGAGGCCAGCATAACGAGCATTAAATAGAATGTTAGAATCAGAAATTTATTTAATATATTCTGCAAGCATTGTTAAACCGAAAAAATATCAACCGACTTGGACAAAACCGTAAATTTACAAAATTTTACATAAAAGAATTAGACGTTTCGACTGCACGCAGTCGTCTTTAGTGTTACATAAATTATCAAGTCATATCTTAACCGCTATTATATTACATTAATATCCTATCGAATTAATAATGTTAAAATGTGTCACGTGTCGCAATGTGTCATATCTGATGTTTCGTCCATGAATCCTTTTGTGTAGAGATCCCTCTTAAGTTATAAAATGCTTCCCGTGAAATTTCTTCGTTTCTTTGCGAGAAATGGTTAATAACGGTATGCACTGCGTACAATCAAGTCAATTAATAATCGGTCACAATTTATAAAATCTTACGTAATTGTTCGGCTTACTTTTAAATTTTTTTATGCTGATTTCACATTATTTTTTAAAAAACTTTATAACTGTTAGTTCGTTTAAATATCTCACTTCCAAAAAAAAATTTGTTTTTATAATGTGCTAATGCAAAAATAATGTGACACAATATATACATAATAGTAAAATATTTAACATCTAACACATTTTGTGAAGCACTTTTTAGTGTCTTAATCATGTCTTTAGCCAAGATAAGATGTTTGAAAAGTGCTTCTTTCATTACCCTTATCAAATTTTAGATGCAGCCACTTATGCAAATATATGCAAAAGTAGTCTTCCTAGCATTTTTTCCCTATTCTCCCTTCATGCATCTTGTACTTTGTGACTTAAGCTGATGCTGTGCTATATTGCATATAAGAGTTTGAGGCTTGCATGATATGTTTCAAGTGTTTACTAGTGTACTTGCGCATATATTATCCGCTCTTCTATTAGGCATAAAGAATATTCATTCACATAATCACTTATTAATTCTTTAAGATTTTGCAAAAAGACACAAAGTTTCTAAAAAAATTCATTCTAATTTTATTTCGGAATTTAATTTAATTTTGAATTATTACATCTGTTAGTTTAAAAACTAATATTTTAAAAAGTTTTTTTTTTATTTATTGCTTGATTGTGTATGTGATTGATAAAATTGCCAAATTCTATGAAGATAAATGTATAATCTAGCTAGTACATAAATATAATTAATATTTATTAATTTTATAGTTTAATAATTATTAGATTATATTATAAAATTATATGTATATATAAAGTTCATTAATAATAAACATATATAATAATACAAATTATCCAATAATTTATATTTTAGAAGATTAATTTAAATTTAATTATAGGAACATTTTCTGTTTAAATCCTACATAAGCTTCTGTCCATAAATAAAGCACATGGATATAGTTCATCGAAAATATCATCAGTTGATAATATATAATATCTTCATTTTCATCGCACGATGACTAATTCTTTCGAAGAAATTATTTATATACTATCAGTTAGTAAATTCTAAATATCCTTGCATTAGTGGCAGATAGTAAATCTTGTATGTGCACAAATATATTTAATAATATTGCTTTTGAAATACGTAGATGGCGTCAAAAAAATTGTTTATTATATATTATTTTTATATTATATAACAATTTAAGTTGCTATTAATAATCATTAATTGTTATCTATAATTTATTATACATATCTACCTTTTTCGTTAAAAAGATAAATAAAAGAAACAGAATTAAATTAAAGAATTACTTATTCAGAAACACTAGAGAAGATATAAACTTATTATTAACCCAGACATCACCAAATCCAAAATCGGCGCATAAGATATCTTTAAAATATGTTTAAGATATCTTTTGGATATCATATCATAAGATTTCTTAAAGCTGTCTTAAAGATTATTTAATGATATCTTATGCGCTAATTTTGGGCTTGGTACTGTCTGGGTAATGAAATTTTGAATCACAATATAAAACCAGCTTCTGTCGATTTATTATTTAAAATCTAAAAATATATAGATGAACAAGATATTAGTTACATATTTTAAAAGTTGGAAAATTATATAATTTAGACACGGCTTTTTAGCAGTCTTTCCGCGCGCGCGTTGTCAGGTATTTTAATATATATATCTTGAAATTCTGATTCTGTTTTAGTGTATTTTAATTTGTGCTACATGCATATTTATTGCATTAAATATTTTTTGCATTAAATTATTTTATGATTTCTGGTGCTTTAAGTTTTTTTTTAATATTATGAAACGATGTGTAACAAATGTATATTATATGTTCTAATATTGTATTCTATATATTTAATAATAAGTAAATATAGTACATACATCATGTCTTTCTAACTCTGTTTTCAAATAAATTTCAAAAGTAAATTGTTTGTAGAAAAAAATGCAGCCAGCTCCTACTTGCATTTTGATTTCTGCAAGAGAAAGAGAAGAAGAGAAAAAGAAATAACGAAGTCTAGACACGGAAATCAATTTGTCCGGCTGAATTATGCAAAATGTAGTAGCTGAATGATCTGATTAGGAGGAGGGCAATAAGATTCTAATATTAAAATAAAAGATGAATTCGAGACTCAGATCGTGATGTTAAAAGTACGGGTATACGAAGTCGAGTATAATCCATATTTAAATAACTACGAAGAAGCCATACATTTATACTACCCGGAATATAATTATTCGCCATGGCTGTATACATAATTTTGATATTTATTGAATATAATAATTTTGCGTGCCAAAATATATTTTTCAATACTAATATTGTTATATGTCTTTAATCGTTAATTTCATTAAATTTACGTCAATCGATATTATTTAATAAATATAATATACGAAATGTTATTAAATGTAATTTATTTTTGTTGTATAATAGAATGATAAATGCCAATGAAAATAAAATAATGTTTGTTATATAGTTTAAAGATTTTTTTTGATTTGCAATAATGTTCTCTCTTGATATTTTAGTAATGGTATCATATCTATCTATATAAAATTCAAATATCAAAAAAGTTATTTATAATATTGAAAACCATGAATTCTAAAGTTGTATTGTTAATATATCTGAAAAAGAGACCTAATAATATTTTTTATTAAATAATTTTTATTAAGTATTTTTCTTACTTGATGTATGTTTTGTCGTATTTGGTAATGGACTCTTTACAGGGCACTTTGTATGTTTATTACAACCCTGCATTTTAAGCCGAACCCCTATTAAGGGTTCTTGGCCTGCGGATGAATGTAAAGCACAATAGGTTACCGACGCGGAGAGTTGTTAACACGAATATTGATTATACAAGTGTTTCTTAAATGTCGGCAGAAAAATTGGAGTCACAATGTGAGAAGAATCTGCCAAATCTTTTTTTAAAGGTATGTATTGTATTTTAATTGTTATTTCATTGTTAATATGTGTTTATTTTGTTTTATTAGTTCACATTGTTCGTAACACATCTTTCTATGTAAAATATTCTCTATAAAATTTACGTAAATATTTTCGAGTATATAGAATTCTAATTTTAGGTTAATCTATAATTGCATTAAGATAATTACCAATAAATATATATTAGAGAATTATGCAATTGCTTGTTTTATCTTATTGTTTTTAAATAAGTTATTATTTGTCGCGGTCTTTTGTCCAACGTTTACAGTGACGATGTTAATTTTTAATTATACGATTATTAGATTAACCTATCCGATTAACGAGGTAGGTGAAATATTCAAGAACACAGTACATATTTCCATTAAATTAGATTCTTAATGTCAACTTCATGAATATTTGGATGCGAGAAAAAATGTTTCGTTCGACCTTGTTAATTTTTTGTATTATCTCTAGAATACGTTTGAATATCTAACTATATAATTATTTCATTTGTTATCGCTCGCGGATAATAGCCGGATAAAAAACATCGGATATTCAATATTTCTTCAGTTGACTTAAAGTGTATAAATTGTAGAAACTTTTGCGAATGAACATACTTATATCGAATAGATGTATAATTTTCGCCTCGATTATTGTGGTCCAAGAGTTCGAAATCAATTTTTAAATAAACTTTATTTTATTATCAAAGTAAATTCCGATTTAATTTTGTTACTTTTTTGTTACTTTGATTAGTAGGTAATAACATTAGTAGGTTCGTTAATATTAATCATACTTATCGAAGATGTGCGGCTACAAATTAATTTGTCTTGTTTGCATTGTTTATTTTAGAATATGGAAATCATGAACACTTATCACTATCTCATCGACGAAATTTCGGGTAAGTTAGATGAATGAATTTATTGGATAGAGATACATGAGAAATATATTATAATGGATGAAAATAAATAAATATGTAAGCAATAATAATATTATATAAAAATATAGTTTATTTCTTTGAGAGTCTCTTATAATGAGAGACTCTTTTTGTTATTAAATGTGTGATAATGTTTTTAATTTCTTTCTTTGGAATTGTATAATGTTTACAATTTTTGTACGCATTGCGTCGCGATATCATTACAATCTGTTTTTTTATTTAAATGTGTTAAGTACGCGCAAAGTATTTTGTTTTGTAACTTTTGAATTTTTCCGAATTTTACAGATCCCAGAGTTTCTGATTGGCTGTTTATGTCAAATCCATTTGGGATAATATTAATTTTACTCACTTATTTATCTTTTGTGCTTTACTTTGGACCACGTTATATGAAGAACAGAAAACCTTACACGCTTAAAAAGACTATGATTTGTTACAATATTTCTATTGCAATTGCAAATCTTGTTTCGTTTTATGGTGTAAGTATTAATTTGTCAAAATATCTATGCATGTATGTATGTGTATGTGTGTGTGTGTGTGTGTGTGTGTGTGTGTGTGTGTGTGTGTATGCGGTTGAGTGGACAACGGGTGTTTATGCGTGCGTGCGTGTGTATAGTATATGTAGTAAATAGTTTTACTTGTAATGTTTCAGTTTACTTTCTATTTATATTTTTAGATTTAAAATTGCATCTAATAGATTGTATTTATTTGTTGTAATATTATTTTTTTGTCTTTTAGATACTTACATCGGGTTATACAACACATCTTTCCTTGGGATGTGAGCCTTTTGTAATTTCCAATAATCCCATGTCACTTAGAGTAAGTAATACTTTGATTAAAATTTATAATAAAATTAAATATGATACATTTCTTATTTTTCGAGATTTATTTAAAAATATTTAAAATAAAATTAAAATATTTAAAATATGTTTACAAGAACTTCAGGAATTTTAACATATATAAAGTTTATTTTTTCAAATTTGAATTTAATGTAAAAGTATTTAATATAGAAATTTTCTTTATGAAAACAATGTGTGTTTGTGTATCTATGTGTGTACGTGTGCGTGAATATAAATTTTTATTATTTATAGATGGCTGAATGGATATGGTGGATGGTAATTTTAAAAATCATTGAGCTTGCAGATACTGTGATTTTTATCGCCAGGAAAAAATATAATCAAACGTCATTTCTTCACGTATATCATCACACAATAACTGTTTCTTCGGTGTGGATAGCTTGTAAATATGCACCTGGTAAGCATTACATAGCAATAAATAAAATAATATATTTTTGAAAGAAAATTGAGTCAGTGCTTTATTCATATTTTAATTGAATAAAAAGATGATATATATTATATATACTTTTTTCATTTATAATAACGTTACAATTACGTTACTCTGGTAGTGATTATAGATAAAATAATATTTATATAGGTGGCATGTGGACTTTTGTTTTTTTGCCCAATTGTGTAGTACACGTATTCATGTATACGTATTATTTCTGTGCTTGTTTGGGGCCCAAAATGCAGAAGATAATCACCCCTTGGAAGAAATATATGACACTTTTGCAATTGGTACGTAATGATTTTATGACAATTTATATTTGCTATATTATGGCGTTCTAACAAATTTTTAGCCATCAATTGTTCAAAGTAATTAGGTTTTTACGTCCAATTTTTAATAGTTTTACAATGTACTCCGGATTCATGGGCGGGCATATGAAATAGCGCGTTTTGCGTGATATGTTCATACATGCGAACTTCATTGTGGTTACAGTGCTCCCATAACTTGATAACTGGCTTTTCACGAGGGATTGAAAAGCTCCGTAAGCGCTGCTTGCAGAATCACACGTGTTCTCGTCGAATCCCAATTCGGTTTGCATTTGAGCGTAACAGCGAGGGGCGGGGTGAAATGGGTGGACGAAGGCTCGTGGTACCGTTTTTAATTAAATAATCCGTTACCAGAGAATTTTTATTTCCGGCGATATCGACGGAACGATTTATCGGGTTACGTAGTTGTTTAATTTTGTGCGGAGTTTTTGCGCTCTAGAATTCCTGTCAGAGGTTGGACGAGGGCAAAATGCTTTTTTTTTTACATGTGATATATATATATATATATATATATATATATCACATATATATATATATATATATATATATATGTATATGTATATAAAGCTGTCAAACATACACTATATAAATATTATGTGTCCTTGTTATTTTTACATGATTCGTAGCAAATATTTATTTGCATTTCTTTTGGAAATTTCATTAATATATTTTGCTTTGACACATTTTTAACTAAATATAAAATGGTTAGGACGAGAAGAGAATCATTATATATTAAAAATCATATTAAAATAATATCTACTATTAAATATTTGACTCTATACAATATATTATTTAAAAAAATTATATGTGCCTCTGCGCATTTATTACAATGAAAATTGATTCAATATTTTTTATTTCAGATCCAATTTGTTATCATGATGATCCATACGTTCCAAGCGTTTCTACCATCCTGCGAGCCAACGAGGAAACCATTAGCATGCATTTACATATCTCAAATTGTTATCATAGCTTCTATGTTCTTAGACTTTTATAGGAAATCGTACTTGAAAAAAAAAATTGAGTAAATGAGTAATGTCTGATGACAACGTTATGATTAGCCAAAAAGCATGAACATCAATTCAATATATTCGCGCATGAAATTTGAGAATAAATATTATACATATATTATAAATAAATGAATAAAGTCACTCTCTTAAATATTCTTTTAATTTACAGTAAGTTTAATAAATACTATAAAAATATAAATTTTTAATTATTAGTAATAATAACAAATCAGACAAATTAATTGAGAATTTGCAAAATTTTAGAAGTTACGTAAATTGTTATTATAAATTATAGGATACGTAAAATTTTTTTATTTATAGTATGTGTGTTTATTATATTCATTAAAATGTTATTAATCATAATTTTTCACTCTGCTATACGTATAAATGATAATCAGCATTATTATATTTTGTAATAAAAAATATCTTTAAAAAATATAATTTTAATTTGTGAATATTAATTTTATTTGCATATATTTGCCAATGTACTTTGAAATTGTATTGCTGTCATAATCTAATTACAGACTATGATATTTATTTTTCATGCAATAACATAATTTATAATCCTTTTATTAAAAAAATTTTATCATTTTATTACTTATTATATAATTATCATAAAATCAAACAAAACAAGACATGAGAATAGAATCAAATATTGTTCATCTAGCATCTCAAAAGAGAAAGATTTAAGAAAGGCATACATAAAGAACCCACATCAGTCATATGAGATGAGATGAGATATGTTACGTTGCTCGTAATGTTTTCGCGTTACGTCAGCTCGGATTTTATTCGCAAGGCTATCTTGCCGTCGAATCCTTTTCTCCTTTCTGATTTGCTTTGCATTATACAATGTTCCAGATCACGTCCTGTCAGTATCGTAAATATAATATGCGGTAATACGTATAGTGGAAGTTATTTGTTTTTTTTTCTCTGTTCTCGTTCTTTCCTACATCATAAGAGTCTTTGCCATTGAAAATAAAAAGATATTTCGGAAAGCTATCGAAGTATAATAATAAAATGATACTTGGGAAAACTTCAATTTCTGTTACCATTTCTGTGAACAGTTGCTTAAACTTTCTTTACATGATTATTTTCCGTAAGTCGTGAAAGCTCCGATATTTGAGCGCGCATAGCTTTTTCCCTGGTCGAAAGTATCCCGTGCAACCTTCGTGCTTTTCCCCACACATGGTTGAGTATAATATATACATACATGTTGTGTTCTATACAGATACGCGTGTGTCCGGGAAAATTGTATTACCTTACTCGACTGTTTTCCCGGCCGACTGACATTAGCATAGTGGATTAGTGCGTCCATGGCTTTAAGTCGACACGCATGGCCTCACGCCGATAAGACTTTATTAACGTCGCCTGTATTTATCTCGTGCTTCAAGCGGCGACCCCTTTCTGCATAGCACGTCCTTCCCTTTATAGGCTCTTGCCATATACACGATAGGTTAATCCTTTTCATGTAATAGTTCCATGTATCCTTAATATATTATGTGTATTACCGCATATTATTTTGCTCTTTTTATTTCATACAATTTGACACAACGGCTTTATATTGTCTTTTTTTTATAGAAATGTTTCATTCGTTATTATGGCAAATTATAGATTATTATTACATCCGAGCACAGTTGAGAATTAATTATCTTTTTTTATTACTTAACAAGCGTTTATAAATTGCTCTTTAACATAATAATCACTGCTTATCACTTATTTATTCAGCGTGAGTAATCGTTGCTGAACATATTGAAGCGGCGCGATGATTTATTTATTTCGAGTATAAGGGACCGAGGGTTGTGTACTTTGGTTTGGTATACGAAAGAAAGGGAGAGAAAGTACAAGAAGGATGGATTATTGAAGTTAAAATTTCATCACCGTTTTAACGCAATTATGTTGAACGTTTATTTAGTCAAAAAAGTTTGATCGTTCAATTTTTCAGCATTATAACGATATTATACTTCTATCTATATTTAATACGTCATTCTAATCATTGTGATGAAACAAGAAATAAAAATTTATAAAAAGATAATGTATATGACGATTCATCTTATAATTGCAATAAAGTATTCGTTAGTATTGAATTTTTGAACAGTACGTAATATTTAACAGATCGCGTAATATTTAATAGTCGCGTTATTCGGCTCAATAATTAATTAATAATTTTGCAGTGGCTACATCAACTTTTAATTCATCGTCGTGAAATATGGAACGACAGCAGCTTTTATATATCGGTGTATAATAGTTGGTATGCAATCCAACTAAAAAAAGTCAAACTAAAGGAAGATTCTCTTGTATGAAATATATGACTGTCTCGGCACCTATCTCACTTCACTATGGAGAAGATTCATTTTTCAGCCAGTCTCTAGCTAGGAACGTGACCTCGAAGTGGTGCACAGCCACAACTTTTAGAGAATATTTTGCAAGTTTCAAGCTGTGCGACGTAGGTAGATGCGTTCTATTAGAGCGAGAGAAGAACATCGTTTGCGACTATTTCGAGAAAGGAAACTTCGAAGGTACAATTGCGTTTGTTTTAAACTAAAAGGAAACTTTCGAGCACATTAGAATGTGCTTGAAAACAAAGAGATAAGAATCTTCGTAGATGGAGAATTGCGTGTATAAATAATTTGGTTGCACTGTAACATTTTGCAATAGATGTTATGGTATATAACATTTTATGCATATTTATAAATGTTGAGTATATATACAAATTTTAAAATATGACTCTCTTGTAAAGTACCAGGGAAAATTCTTTATATACAAGATACTTTTACGGCTAAAATATTCTTTTACATTGCCGAGAGATATGTAATTTCCATAATAAATTAATACGTAGCTACAATTATATCTTAATATAATTTTATGTTCTCTACTTTTAAATCGTTTGGCTTGAAAATAGAGATATTGCATTGTGATATTCACCGTAGTTAGCGTGCGTATGGCAAAACGCATATGGTAATATCGCGGCGCATAATATACGGTAGTACTTTATTTTTGGAAAATTTTAATACTGCACCCGGTGTCATTATTACCTCCTCTGCCTCGTGACGGTGGTGCAGCCAATTCTGTAAAATTTATAAGGTAGCACTCTGCTCGGCATACAGTCGCCGCTCCCATATTACGATCCTCTGTTACGATCGCTTGTAATTGGTTGCTTAAATACCGAAGTACATATATATATATATATATATATATATATATATATATATACTACATAATTGTGTATGTGTGTGTGTGTAGTACCTATTTGGACGGCAATGTACAGACTAGGGCGGGTAGTCTCTTTGGCACGACAATCGGGATTGAAACCTCGCTCCAATTGTCTGTTAACGTATATTTCTTTTGGTGTCAGTGACTTATAGCATTGATTTACGATTCGACGTGCGCGATTTTGGATCAAGTTGTAGCGAAGCGCAAGTTTAGAAAAATAGTGACAACCAAACTAACACTAGGTCGCATCGATCTTGTCCTTAATTTGCTATTATATCAAACAAATACGCTTGCGAAAGAAAGTAATTAGTTTTTTGTATGTTCAATCCAATTTGCTTCAATTTATTGCAGCTATAGTACGATGCTTATTTCAAATACCATAAACAAGTGATAACTTTAAATTATTCATTTTTACTATTCGAGCATGTTATATTAGCCGGGGATGAATAAATATGACATTATTAATCGTATATCATTAAAAATCCACAGATGTTTCGAAGCGGTCTTTAAATCTTGTCGAGACAATTTCGTAGATGAAAGATTATACCGTATATTGCGGAAATCGTAACGCCGTGCCGCCGGAACGTAATAGAGGAGTTCACCGTATTTATGATCGGTGTAAAACATCGGGCCCATGCCGACTCGCTCGGAGAGCGAGAAAATTTCACGGCAACACGTGGCACCGCAGCGGAATTTAATAACATCGCGTACGGACTCGGGACCGTTTAGAATTTAATACTAATTTAAAAGAGATTAGTTCCGTATCCGGCGCCAGACAAGGATCACTACCCTCTCAGACAGCCCTTTCGGAGGAGGTGAATTTCAGGGACAACGAGCGAGCGCAGAAGCGCAGTTCCCACGGGGAAAGCGGCTTAATTAATTGAACTTAATTTAAATTTAATTTAATTTCCTCTACCTCTTTGCACGTCGTCGGAAGCACACGCGTCCGCCGCATGGCTTGCGTGCCAATATACGATTGCACAATAAAAATAAGCGTCTGCATTTATAAACGGCATGGACAATCATACTCCTTATAGTTTACGCTACCCTAAGCTGCTATTATTAAAAAATTCCACTCTAGAACACATTTTTTCAGAAAATTAATTAGCGTCATTTCTGTAAGCTCTAATTTATTCCCATGGTTTAAAAATCTTTATATAGTTTTGTAATGAGTTGCTATTAATTACTGCGTTATTTATGAAGATATTTTCTTTTGCGTTTTCTTAGCAACGATTATTGTCGATTATTGAAAAAAAATGTATAAAAATCTTTTCTCTGCATCCCGCGTTGCAGTCATAACTTTTTAACTAAAACGTCAGGATGCGAGACATACCGCCGAAAGCCGGCGAAGATTAATGAACGTGAGGTAGATGAGGCGAGGAACACATTGCGCAAACTGAGAATGGAAAATAAAATGCTAAAAAAAAATCGTGTTTGCACGTCGGCTTATTTTCTTCCCGTTGCGATTTTATATTTTAAATGACGAAGAGCTCGTTGTAATTTGAAAAGCAAGCGTAAAAAGATGATTTACTTCGGATATAAATCATTGGACTGCTTACGAGAGATACCGTCAAAATTTACCACAACAGTCGATCAAGAATTTCGATTTCAGGCAGCGCAGCCTTCTCGCGAATATTGAGATAGGAAGTTTCTTTTTCCGTCCGAAAATCCATCCCGAGTAAAACTTCGATTGTTCCTTCTTTTCGCGATGCGGCCGTGTTAGAATGAAACTGAGGGTTAGAGGTAGAAATTCTAGAGAGTGAGAGCAAGAAGATGGGAGAGAAAAACTGATTGGAATAAAAACTTTGAATATTTACAACTAGGATTGGGGATCTCGAGCAGCCCATTCGAATTTATTAGAGAATATCGATGAAATTCTGTGTCGCGCAGGATTTAAGACTTTCAGTTGAAACGAGAGTGGTTGCATGTGGCTAGAC